CGCGTGCTGGCGGCCGCGGAGCTGCGCGTGCGCGCGTGGGCCGCGCCGCTGCCGCCGGGCCACGAGGCGCGCGCCGTGCTGGAGTTCCGCCGCTCGCGAGGATGCGGGCTGCAGTTCAAGCGCTGCTTCCTGCGGCTCCGCGCGGCGCTGCAGCCGCTGGCCGCGCCCGCGCCCGCGCTGGGGCCCGCGCTGCCGCTCGCCGAGCCCATGCTGCAGGACGCGGCCCCGGGGCCCGCAGATTGAACCTGATGTGTGCGTCAGTTGTGATTTGAACCAAAAATTCTGTGCCTTGCAAAGTTTTATATTTGTGATATTTCAGTACATTGTTTTTTTTATAATAAAGATAGATGTTGAATAAACGTCGTTTCCATTAAATGATCACTCCGTAGACGAGCTCCATACGGATCGCGCTAATGGCACGCCGCGTGGCAGCTGACCCGGCCCTGAGCGTTAATTATAATTACAAAAAATCCTTGGTTCAGCTACGTTTCGACGGAGTGACTGTAGAGGCGTCCTTGAGCGTCGCCCGCGCGCTCGGGGAGGTCGCCGCGACGACCACATCTACCGAACTAGTATAACCTTACTGATTATGTTGAGAAACTTAGCATGTTTAGTAATTTAACTTAGCGTAAACTCTCATTCTTTTTTATTTTGGATTGCTTTCTTGGGCAGACGAAGATGTGCCCATCAGAGGGTCAGTAGTCACCGTCGTTTATGGACGGTATCAATGCCAGCGTCAACGCCAAGCGGCTGCCCGCCCCCGAGGGCGCCTTAAACATCGTTGGAAGAAAGACATTTCACAGCGCCAAGGAAACGTTGTGTAGGGGAGTTCATGCAAGCCACTTTGGGGGTTCATACTCCTGAAATTGGATTGAAAAATATTTTTATGTCAACGTATAGACCACGTAATCGAAACTTCGATCCAAGGTAAGTGATACGACCTTCAAGTTTCATCGGGGCTCTGGTACAAACTTTAATTTTTTTTATTGCTTAGATGGGTGGACGAGCTCACAGCCCACCTGGTGTTAAGTGGTTACTGGAGGCCATAGACATCTACAACGTAAATGCGCCACCCACCTTGAGATATCAGTTCTAAGGTCTCAAGTATAGTTACAACGGCTGCCCCACCCTTCAAACCGAAACGCATTACTGCTTCACGGCAGAAATAGGCAGGGTGATGGTACCTACCCGCGCGGACTCACAAGAGGTCCTACCACCAGTAATTACGCAAATTATAATTTTGTGGGTTTGATTTTTATTACACGATGTTATTCCTTCACCGTGGAAGTCAATCGTGAACATTTGTTGAGTACGTATTTCATTAGAAAAATTGACACCCGCCTGAAATTCGAACACCGGAGCATCGCTCAACACGAATGCACCGGACGTCTTATCCGTTAGGCCGCGACGACTTGCAGCAGGATGTTGCGGGGACGTCCCACCGTCGGGTTCAAAGAAGTGCTGTTCGCGCCACGCTCCCAGGAACCTTCATGGGTATTTCTCTCTCTTTCTATCGCGAGCAGAAATTATACATGTTTCATTTCACCGAGGGTTCATTTCCGGGTCGAAGTGAAAATTTCTGAAGTGTTCTATTCCATTCTGATTGAAAGTGCAACAATCGAAAGAAATGACTTTTCTTTTAGCAGGCTTTTTTAGCGTCATGTGTAAGGTAACGGAATCTTTAAACATAATTTTGACCCCCTGCAAAACGTTAGATTAACTCGAAATTTGCAATACTTATCAAAGACCGAGTTCAATATGTATTTCAATCAGACCCGTTATTTACTTTCGGCAGTCGAAACAACAAATTCATTTGGGCGCCTTCTTTTTTTTACTTAGCAAATTTGGAAACTGTTTTATTTGACATAATGAATAGTTACACAGAATACTGAACATGAATGAATAATTTATGTTACCTACTTTTTTTTCCTACCTAAGTTATCCTTGAGAGGCTATTTCAGCGTAACCTTAACTAGTAGGTGAGCTCACGGGGCTCAAACCTGACGATCTTGCCAGATCGATCTGACAAACCCTAGCAAGAGCCATGCTCCGTAGAATCTACCACCGCATCGGAAACGCGACCCATTGAGAAGTTCTGGCGAGAAACTCAGTGGGCTGTGTCTGTGGGTTAATTTTCTCGTCAAGCCCTTCCTCACAAGCGACGGGTTCGACGAGAACGATGACCGGCTATGATACATAATGCTACTTAAACTATAAACTGAAAAATGAATAATAGTTTAAAAAAAAAACTAAAAAACATGTTTTTATAGAAAATCCAACTAAAAAATAAAAAATAATATTATTGTTAAAATAAACGTGAGGTGCTTTTTAAGATATTAATAAAATATTATGATATTATCTTGTCTGTCACTAAATAAATCACTAAAATATTTAAACTATTGCTACGTTGGTAAGATTAACGCAATCTATCGGCAAATAGCAGAAACGAACATCGAAAGGTCTAGCAAGATCGAGAACGCTAAGTACACCGCCATCTATTATCAAATAGCGTAAACACGTGTCGAAACTACACGACCGTTCAGGAATGTTCTGATAACTCGAGATGTCGTATCGACTATAAAATCGTTGCAGAGATGCCACGAAGTCAGTTAGTAATCGGAACTACTCGAAGCGAAACTAAACGGATCACCTCAAACGAAGCGGAAGAAGCTAGTTACGAATTGTAAAGTGCTCTGTAAGTGTTCTAAGTGTTAAATAGTGTTTTAATCCGTACTTCGGTGGAATTTTTATTTATCGCGAAGCCCAACGCGTAACACTATTGACGCCCCGCACCTCACAAATCTCAAATTTGTTTTCTAAATTTTTTGGATTTTCTATAAAAGCTTCCTTTTTAGTGTTCATCCTTTGTGTAAATATGAGTGACAAATTGTCGCACAAAACAAATGCGTCATGATAATCGGCTTATCGTTGCCACCGCTGACTACTCCCTAAATCCTGAGCACGCAGGAGCCAGTCACCGTCGACGCCCTAGACACGTCCTTACGGATCTATCAGATACAATAACTCTTGCATTAGGCGCCTTCAGCTCTAACACCAGGAGCAGGCTTAGGGACCCGGTAACCGTACTCCTTGAACTCTACAAAAAGTTCGACGCGCAACCTAACCCATGCATCGGCTCGCTGAATTTCTCGCCAGATCTTCGCAGCGCGTCGCGATTCCGGTGCGGTAGTACTCGTAGATTCATTCGCGAAGCAGCTACTCTTGAGAAGTTAGGTCTCCTTCGGAGGCGCTCAGGCAGCTGTTAGCCAATCCCATCCCCCTAGCTGAGCTATTGCTCGCCCACCTGTCTTGGTGAAACTGGAAAGGCCTCCGGGCCACCAGTAATCCTTTAAAAAAAAAACATTGGAAAAGTGAGTCTTATTTACTGTTGCTATGGAAGTATGGAAGGTAATGACAACTAGCAGAACAACGTGGCGCTCACGGTCCACCGAGTATTAAGTGGTTGCAGGAGCCTATATACATCAGTGTGCTTAGTGCATAGTAGGAGGTGGTGGTTTTTGGAGACTTTAACGCTCACCACCAAGAGTGGTTGGGGTCCAGAACCACTGACCTCCCGGGTCGGACTGCCTACGATTTCGCCTTGGCCTACGGCTTCTCCCAGCTGGTGACACAGCCCACCCGTGTCCCAGATATCGATGGGCACGAGCCTTCTCTGTTGGACCTTCTGCTGACCACGGATTCGGCCGGATACAGTATGGTGGTCGACGCTCCGATTGGATCGTCTGATCACTGTCTTATCCGTGCTGCCGTACCACTCTCTCGTCCTGGTCGTCGAACGACGACCGGGTATCGAAGAGTTTGGCGGTATATGTCAGCAGATTGGGATGGATTGCGTGAATTTTACGCATCCTACCCATGGGGGCTTTTCCTCTGCTGATCCTGACGTCTGTGCGGACCGTCTTAAAGTCGTGGTGCTCCAGGTGATGGAATTGTTTATTCCCTCTTCTGAAGTGCCCGTTGGGGGTCGCGGCAGACCGTGGTATAACAATGACAGCAGGGATGCTGCACACCTCAAGCGGTCCGCATACGTGGCATGGGATGATGCCAGGAGGCGTCGGGATCCTAACATCTCAAAGGAAAGGCGGAAATATAACACCGCTTCCAGGTCCTACAAGAAGGTAATTGCCAAGGCGAAGTCGGAGCACGTTGCTTGAGTTGGCGAGCGACTAAAGAGCTATCCCTCTGGGAGCTGTGCTTTTTGGGCGCTCGCCAAAGCTACAGAAGGAAACTTTTGCAGGTTTAGTCTCCCACCACTGCGCAAATCCGATTACACTCTGGCCCACAGTGCGAAAGAGAAGGCTGACCTTCTGGTCAAACTCTTCGCCTCGAACTCGACTGTGGACGACAGGGGTGCCACACCACCGAACATCCCCCGGTGTGATAGCTCCCTGCCGGAAATCTGCTTCACACAGTGTGCAGTCAGGCAGGAGCTCCGACTCCTGGACGTCCATAAGTCGAGTGGGCCAGATGGCATCCCCGCAGTGGTTCTGAGTGCGCCCCTGAGCTGACGCCTGCGCTAACGCGTTTGTATCACCTCTCTTATTGCACTAACAGGGTTCCGTCTTTGTAGGCAGACGAGCATACGGCCCACCTGATGGTAAGTGGTCACCGTCGCTCATGGACGTCAGCAATGCCAGGGGCAGAGCCAAACCGCTACCTACCATAAAGTACTCTCCGCAAGCCTCGTTTGAAGAAGGACATGTCATAGCGCTCGGAAAACACCGTGGAGGGGAGTTCATTCCAAAGCCGGATGGTACGTGGCAAAAAAGATCTTTGGAAACGCACTGTCGATGAACGCAGCGGTTCCAGATAATATGGATGAACTCTGCTCCGATGGCGGGAGGTGCGATGATAAAAAGGAGANAAAGTACTCTCCGCAAGCCTCGTTTGAAGAAGGACATGTCATAGCGCTCGGAAAACACCGTGGAGGGGAGTTCATTCCAAAGCCGGATGGTACGTGGCAAAAAAGATCTTTGGAAACGCACTGTCGATGAACGCAGCGGTTCCAGATAATATGGATGAACTCTGCTCCGATGGCGGGAGGTGCGATGATAAAAAGGAGATTAGGGAATCATCTCGAATAATTCCTCAGAGCATTCCCCATGGACCATGCGGTATAAAACACAGAGAGAACCGAAGTCCCTCCGTAGACCCAGAGGATCCAAGTGATCCGCGAGAGCAGGACTATCGACCATCCGAACTGCCCGTTTCTGTATGGAGTC